TCTATCCCTTTGAGAGGTATTTTATTGTCTCAATAAAAGTACTTGAAGCCAAGCCAAAGGGGATGGCTCACACAGTAGTGAGTCAAGTATACTAACCTCTCTGAGTACTCTTTCATGACGTCATAAGACCTAGACCAAGTCGACTTGTATACTGTTGACCAGACCACACACTAGAAGGTGAAGGGACGACGACGTTTCGGTCCGTCATGGACCATTCTCAAGTCGATTGATGTATACTACATTGCCTTTGGTTTAAGGCATCTGTACTTGCTTGCTATTGGTCTATTGGCTCACCGGACCATTGGACAAAGGGAAACCTGAGCTACGTCACTTGGCTACACCAAGCCTCAGTCTGACCTAGAAGTTCATCTTGAACGGATGCCCAGTCGTACTAATACCGCGCAAATTGGTGTCGATTCACCATCCAGGACTCCGAACAATGAAGTCTCTCTCTTATGTTTTGCATTCATTAACTGTCCTTTGTTCCCAGAAACATGATACGTGCAGTTTGCTCGATTCTAAGTCGTGATAGTGAGAAAGTGTTGGAGAGAAAAGACTGTTATGTAATCATTACTAGGAGTAACTGACTGAATTAAGAAAGTGTGATCGGGTAATATCAGTGTCATCATCTGACAGTGAAGGGTGTCAGTGATATACGGACTATACAGATTGTCGCCGCTCCTTATTGTTCAATTATAGTGAACCTATACTTGCGGCATGACTGTGTTTTGTGAGTAAAAACCTACCCTCGAGTGTCATGCTAAATGCCCACGCGAGACTGCATGATACTAGTGCCCCCCTGTCGTGCCCATCCTTGTGCTCCGATCCCGCCACTTGCCTTGTCCAACTGCGTGTAGTGCCCGCACAAACCCTCTGTGTGTCTCTTAGGCTTTATGAGTCTAAGAGACACAGAGATACGTGTCCTGGTGGTTGTCATCTGTTACATCAACCACTCACTCCGCATGTTCAACCACTCGCGGTGGAGCTTCAGGTGAAAGGAAGGAGAAAGACCATGTGTGCATCCCACAGGTCTATGCCTTGCTACAAGTCACGCTGTGTCATGCCACAAGTCACGCTGTGTCATGCCACAAGTCACGTTGTGTCATGCCACAAGTCATGCTGTGTCATGTCAGAAGTCATGCTATGCCATGCCGTGTCAGCGTCGCCAGAAGCTCATCGTTCGCCTTTAAGCGGTGTATGGGGAGTGAATGTCACTTTCTCGAAGTACAGATTCCCTTCAATTTTTTTAAAGTTGACTTGTGTTGATCTCAGTGAGTAACCAACTTATTAAGTGTACCTTCTTGTCCACCCACAGAAGGTGAGGGGGTAGAATCGAGGTGACCTTCAAGCGTGAGAAAGCTGGCCTGTGTGTGAACGCTCTAAGCACTTGTCTAAGGATAAGAGGATTAACCTTCACCGCCTACTTAATCTCGGTGACATGTTGTTTCAATGATTTATTGACGTTCTCAGTGATTCGTGTCTATTTCAATGACGGGTTATTTTTTTAATGATATATTCTTATCTCAATGACGTGCTCTATTTCATGATTTATTATTGCCTCAGTAAGTTGCGTTTAATTCCGTGATTGATTATTGTTTCAGTGACGTGTGATTAATCATTGTGATAAATTGTGTGCACTGTTGTCTCGTTGATTGTTTTCCTGAGCATTTCAAGGTTGGTGAGTATTACTCGAGTGTCCTGTTGCAGCTCCAGCCAGTGACCTTTGATTACTGCAAGTGTACTGTATAGTTCATGTTGGAATATTTACAAGTCGACAGAATTTAGAGTGTCTACTCATACTAACGTTGTATAAATGATTCTTGTTATGTATAATTTGCACAGTTTCCTTGCGATGCCATTGATTAACATAAAGTCAAGCTCCTAAATTATTAAGTTTGTTGAATAAACCTGTTGCAGGCATTACTAATGGGCTTTTCATCAGCCCTAAGTACTGTCCCCCCCCACACACACACACACTTATTTCTGCCTAATTATTGAGTACCGGCTCCGGGTATTCAGACCACATAGCCTCTTTGCACTAAATAACATCAATTTGGTGTGAGGAACTCCGGTCATTCTCTAGACTAGCTTTTCCCTCATTGGAGAAAGACTGATGACCCAGCGATGGGAGATGCCTGTAAGCTCGTCTGTAGATCATTGTCATGCAACTCCCCTTTTCCTCTTGAGCTACAACGATTCCTGGTGGCTGCTCCTGCATATAAGATATGTCAACTGATGGCCTACTGGTCGACCACCATTGTCATTGTTGTACAGTTGCTTGCAGTTGCAGTCATTGCAGAAAATCATACCTTCACATTCATTATTAATCCTTATAATTAGAGCATTGGAAAAGAGGAGGAATATCAGCACTACATACTGGGCTCAGTACTACATACTGGGCTCAGTATTACATACTGGGCTCAGTACTACATACTGGGCTCAGTACTACATACTGGGCTCAGTACTACATACTGGACTCAGTACTACATACTGGACTCAGTACTACATACTGGGCTCAGTACCAGATGGTATTTCTCTGTATCTATAGAAGAGAATGACTCTTTGTCTGTTCGAAATTAGCGGCCGGATGCTTGGGCTGCGAGTTTCACCAAACCTTGCAGGGTGACTGGTCTTTCTCCGGGGATAGTCATAGGCCGTGGCCGAGACTCGTGTCCCCATCCCCATCTTTGCTGCAAATGGAAAACGTTACTAATCTAAACCAAAAGACTCTAAAGTCTAAATCAAAGTCTGCGTTGTACTTCCTGGAGGCCAGTGCAACATATATTGAGAGGAACAAATGTCAATATATGCCCCACGTAACTCAAGTGTGCTATGCGTTTAACCCCAGAATATACATTTGTTTATTTATATAGTGATAAGGAGGCTGATACCGATACTTTAAACATATAATTTATATATGTTATTACATGTATTAACTGTTGAAAGTAATTGGCAAAGAAAATTCTGATCAAGGAGAAGAACTCGGCCAACTGGGATATGATATGATCAACAAATTAGAGCTTCTGCAAGAAATGTCATCACTGAGAGTGAGTTTGTTGATGAAGAACAGTTGATTGGCTTGGCTATACTTGATCCCTGATATTCATCTCTGTGAAGTCTTCAAGATCAGGCACATGATGTCGTACTTGTATTAGTGCAAGTGGGTCGTGAGATGCGACTATGATAAGTGATCCACTCAGCATCAGTTTTATGGAGAGACAGAGAGAGAGAGAGAAGAGAAGGCGAATTATAAGAGGAAAGCACCAAGCCATTACGACTATCTGGCACTTGGAAGGGGTCAGGATAAGGATTTGGGATGGGACGGGGGGGGGGGGGAGAATGGTGCCCAACCAATTGGACGTTCGGGGATTGAACGCCGACCTGCATGAAGCAAGACCGTCGTTCTACCGACCGTCCAGCCAAAGCGGTTGGGCGAGAGAGAGAGAGAGAGAATCTGTCAGCTGGATAGCACAATTAGTACACAAGTAATTATTAAAAGAAACCATCGTTAGTGCCACGGAATAGTCAACACTTCCCTGATTAGATGCCAATTCTATAAAAATCTGGCGAGTAAGGCTTACGATAAGCAATGGAAATAAAAAACATTCAGCCTGCTAACAGGAGTCCCAAGTCTTCTATTGCTGTACCCACGTGTGTAAAGAAAATTTATCCAATTTTTTTTTGCTTTCAAGAGAACGGGAGAATCACACGTGGAAAAGAGGAAGATAAGAATCCACCAGCGCTCCGGGAGAGAGACAGGAGATTAATCCACGAGTAAATGGAAATAAACACAGGTGCGAGTGAAGACTCAACTTAAGGGGCTTCACTCGCACTTAATGTCCGAGTGAAGACTCTCTTAAGGAGGCTGTGCCCACACACAGCACATTAATGAACAGGCAAGAGAGAAACATATAGTGAAATGGTTGCTTCATTGTACTGCTCTTGAACAAAATATATTATGTATATACAGCATGTATCTTGAGGTTCTCTTGAGGTTCTCTTGAGATGATTTCGGGGCTTTAGTGTCCCCGCGGCCCGGTCCTCGACCAGGCCTCCACCCCCAGGAAGCAGCTCGTGACAGCTGACTAACACCCAGGTACCTATTTTACTGCTAGGTAACAGGGGCATAGGGTGAAAGAAACTCTGCCCATTGTTTCTCGCCGGCGCCCGGGATCGAACCCAGGACCACAGGATCACAAGTCCAGCGTGCTGTCCGCTCGGCCGACCGGCTCCCGTAACCCACAACCCACAACAGTTTCCTAGGTCACAGATGACAATATATTGCCAGCTAAAAAAAAAGAGGAATCATACGAAAGGAAATATGACCAAATATAAGTCGACCCTTTCCTCGGGCCGGGCTTGGGGAGTAGAAGAACTCCCAGAACCCCATCAAGCAGGTATGCGTCTTAATCGCGGGAATCGAACCCAGGGATTTCCAGTAATGAACCCAATACGCTGATCACAACCAGAATCCTATTTAGTAAATAACCCTAGTGGTTGACCTCCACCACAACACACAAACGAACTTGCCAAAGGAAGTTAACATTCCAAGGAGTGTAGTGACCTTAATATCGGGGAGAGATGCTCTGCCCTTAGCGACCTTCCTCACATACAGTAGGTAAACCCACATTTATGCAGCTACAGTAGACCTTAAGATGTGTTTACACGATTCAACATTCAGAGAACTTAAATTCCAGGGGGTTGTTGTGTTAATTTTTAGTGCAACGTGCGCGCCTAGCGTGGGGTGTCTTACCTGGTGGTCCTAGCGAGAATGATGGTCCTAGTGAGAGTGATGGTCCTAGTGAGAGTGATGGTCCTAGTGAGAGTGATGGTCCTAGTGAGAGTGATGGTCCTAGTTAATGATGGTCCTAGTGAGAGTGATGGTCCTAGTTAATGATGGTCCTAGTGAATGATGGTCCTAGTGAGAGTGATGGTCCTAGTGAGAGTGATGGTCCTAGCGAGAGTGATGGTCCTAGTGAGAGTGATGGTCCTAGTTAATGATGGTCCTAGTGAATGATGGTCCTAGTGAGAGTGGTGGTCCTAGTGAGAGTGATGACCCTAGTGAGAGCGATGGTCCTAGTGAGAGTGATGGTCCTTGTGAGAGTGATGGTCCTAGTGAGAGTGATGGTCCTAGTGAGAGTGATGGTCCTAGTGAGAGTGATGGTCCTAGTGAGAGTGATGGTCCTAGTGAGAGTGATGGTCCTAGTGAGAGTGATGATCCTAGTGAAAATGATGGTCCTAGTGAGAGTGATGGTCCTAGTGATCAATGTTTTTACCTCGAGTCACTAGATTGGCGAATCCTCATAATTATAAGTAGAAAAAGTATCATATTTTAATGTGAATTGTATCATGCAGAAAATGCAATCTAGGATACAGCAAGGAGAAGCCAAGGAACGGCTTCACAATGACTTGTTTACCATATCTTTAAGATAGCGGGACCAGAATTAATATTTATGTTTATAATGAGGTACAGCTCCGAGTATTCACCCTGATTAGGGCTGGTGCCCTAATCTCTGGTGAAAGTTTAAGTTCAAGTATGTTTATTGAGACAAGAAAGAAATACATCTCAAAGGGATAGATGATTGATTGATGAAGATTAAACCATCCAAAAGGTGGCACGGGCATGAATAGCCCGTAAAAAGGGGTAGAGTAGTTTAGGCTATTTCTACCCCCGTCTGGTGAGAGTGAGTGAGGTGCTGGAGACTGCGGGCAGCGTTCAGTTATGTGTTCACATCAACATTAGGGGCTTCACCAGTCCTCAAATGAATGCTTGAAACCACTGGTGTTTTTATTTTAATATTTTTATGGTTGTCTAAGTGGTGGATGGTTGTGGTAGTGACGGTGGTTGTATACTGTAACCCACAAGCTAGAGATGGTTATTATAGGTTATAGGGATGGTTATAAATTGGGTGTTAGCTAATAGAATCGTCGCAACACCCCTGCCTTCCCCTCCCTTCCCCATCACCACATTAGGTAAGTCTTCCATACCATACAAAGTGCAGCTTCGCCTCGATTCACCAATCGACAACGATGAGGCCAATATTGGCAGGACTTGACACATGGAGATGGCAAGAAAAGGAAGACTTGTAAGGGCCGTGTCTCCCAGCTGTGAATGTGGCCTCGACCCGATTGATTGATGGACAAAGATTAAGCCACCCAAAAGGTGGCACGGGCATGAATAGCCCGTAAATCCTCGACCTCCTCTGTAACCTCTTAAGTAACCACACCTGATCTTTGGGGTTACAAAGGTCAGGTTGTTTAAAACGGAGGTTATATCTTATAAAAGGCCTTTATGCATTTTTTATGGGCTATTCATGCCCGTGCCACCTCCTGGGTGGCTTAATCTTAATCAATCCCCCACAGCCACGCTCCTGTGCCAGGTAAGTCCACTACGGGCTCACCATAGCCCGTGCTACTTGGAATATTTTGTTCCCAGTAGCTGAATCTATAACAACAACTTTATCAATCAATCTATACATTATATTCTTCCATTATAAATGTCAACTATTAACCACCGTCACCCGTCTCTCGGAAACGGCCCATTCGTCTCCTGTCACACTCTTGGAGTAAAAAAAAGAAGGTAATAGAAGCTCATATACATTTTATAATTACATTAATATGGTCATTTACATAAGTATATATATTTTCGATGTTTTAATTACTGTTATAAAAGGTAATCTTTATCTCTTGACTGTCTAGACGGGTTACACACGAACCGCATTCTCGGTTCATCCCGGTCCATACCGGTCCAGCACCTTTGGCTCTAACCGGTTCATATCTTGGACCCAACCAGGTCCACATCATCAACCACATCCGGTTCACAAACTGAACCTTAACCAGCCCTTGCCTTGGGTCTAACCAGTCTTAATCCTAACCGGACCACACATCATAAAACATTCTAATCCTAACTCAAAATCCACCCCCCCCCCCACCCCAGGTTAATCTGCCAGTACCCACCTACGCTCACACACACACACACACACACACACACACACACACACACACACACACACACACACACACACACACACACACACACACACACACACACACACAAACAGAGTGGTAGACGGTTGGAACAATTTAGGGGAGAAGGTGGTGGAGGCCAAGACCGTCAGTAGTTTCAAAGCGTTATATGACAAAGAGTGCTGAGAAGACGGGACACCACGAGCGTAGCTCTCATCCTGTAACTACACTTAGGTAATTACACTTAGGTAATTACACACACACACACACACCAGTTAAGACACTTCACAGACGAATCCTTCCACTAAGGAAGGACCTTTCATCCCTTCTCCACCACTTGATCCAATTCAAATCCACCACTTGAATCACGTGATCTGGACACACACACGCCCCTTGTTTGTGACATAGATGACAGTTTCGTCCATCAGTTCCTTGGTGCAGCTGTGACCTGACCCCCGTCCCTCCCCCCCCCCCCCCGCCCCCTACCCCTTGGGGTCAGTTTCCAACCTAAGCCAGAGGCTGGTCACGCACAGGGGGCACTGACCCCTTGTTAATACCCTTGAAGCTCTGTTTAATGTCGCCAATTCACAGTTTCTAGCACACAAAAAATACCCGACTCATTCATTCTTACTCATATGCTGGAATGAATGAGTAATCTAGATAATGTATTTTTTTTGTAGGAGGGTTTAAGAATTGTGATGGTGGAGGTTGTGGGTGATGGTGGTGATTGTGGTTGTGGTAAGGGGGGCTAGGGATTGTGGCAGTGGTGGTTGCCTAAGGCGGGACCCAATATATATATATATATATATATATATATATAAGAGACGCTGGTGTATTATCCTGCCGGTGAATTGATGGGTCGAGGCACGCACCACTTCTCACGTGTTGTGTAGCGTGTCAGGAACACTGTCATGTGTATCATAGTGCTGTGTACCACACTACACTGTGTACCACACTACACTGTGTACCACACTACTCTACCCTGTGTACCACACTACTCTACACTGTGTACCACACTACTCTACACTGTGTACCACACTACTCTACACTGTGTACCACACTACTCTACACTGTGTACCACACTACTCTACACTGTGTACCACACTACTCTACACTGTGTACCATATACTCCAAATATGGTAGTGATGAAAAAAACAATAGTGCCAGCTCTACCGACAACCCTCGTGTCTTCACACCTGTCGGAAGTCACCCGGCACCGTCTCAGACCTTCGGAGAGTCACTTAAGAGGGACCGTCTCAGACCCTCGGAGGGTCACCTAGAGGCACCGTCTCAGACCCTCGGAGGGTCACTTAAGAGGGACCGTCTCAGACCCTCGGAGGGTCACTTAAGAGAGCCCTCAACTGAGCCACATATGTAGACATGTGGTTCACATGCACCGTTAAGCAGTCCGGTAGTCCTCTCCACATATTTACCCTGGTGTCTTGCCTCCATTCCTCAGTTCATCAGTATGAGAAGTAAAACTCATCTTCCCTCTTACAGAGGCAAGAGAGAAAAGACATCTAAACAAACTTACATTTAATACACAACAAAGAATACATCAATACAAAATAAGGTGAAATCCTCTTAGTCAGTTCTTCAGTGTCTCGCTGCAGTCTTCTTTCAGCAATTTGTGTTGATTTTCCCAATTCACATCTGTACACGCGAATTAATACATTCCTCAAATATCTAAGTAGGCTTCTGCTCTAGAAATGTGTATATATTTATATGTCTCAATCAATTTAACAAATACAGACCTTTGAATGTATGCATAATTATATTAAGCAACAGTAACACAGGAATATTTTGGGTATCCTACTCAAAAGTCCATTGCCTTCCCGTCCCCTTAACATCTGGTATCCTCAAGTCAAGCTTGTGGTGAGAAACTATTCCGTCTTACAATACAATAATATACACCCAGCAACACAACCACGGGACTGATAAACACACACACCCAAAAATACATCAACATTCTTGATAAACACTAGTTGTCCTTAACATCTCCTCTGTGGCGTCTCATCCACTAATACACTTGGTTCCTTAACTCCACAACCACCAAGGTCTTGGTCGCGTGTTCCACCTGATATTCCTTCTCCTTGCGTATAATTCGGTGATTATTGTTTCAGTGACGGGTGAGTAATCAGTGTGATACAGTGTTGTGCGCACTGTTCTGTCATTTTGTAATAATCAATAAAGAAATCAAAACCTCTCACTATTCTATCATTGCGTCAGCCACACACACAAACACGTGGAACACAACAAAACAAAATTAGTCACATTGGATCTTCGTGGATCCATCCACTAATTGAGGTGGATAACGTTCAGTGCTGGAGACTTGTTACACCTCTCCTTACTTGTCGTCCAGTGATCTTGCCTCCAAGCAGAGGTACACAATCCTGCACTCATTTATGCACACAAAATAACACTTTCAAGAACATTTAATATGAAAACAACGTTATTGACATCGCGTCACAAGGACACTGCTGCACTCTGGCGGCGTCTGGCAGCCCTGCTGACCGAGTTCATGAATCCCTCACTCGGACCTGGACCATGATGGAGGCCGCAGCTACCACCGCTGACAAAAACACTTTAATAATCTAGCATTCTCATATCAATCCTTCTTCATTATATATACTGGTTGTAAAGGTCACTGTATATCAACTAGAACCACTGTATACTCCTCTTTATAGTCCAGGGTTAATCACAGCAAATCAAAAGTCCTTTCCTCCCACTTTGTGGGTTGTGAAGGCCCGTCGTCTGCTAAATCAAAAATGACGTCTTGGGGTCTGCTTTCCAATCCCTCCTCTTTGACTGTCTTCCAATCCTTTGTGGCCGCCTCTGAGCCTCTTCTCTGACTTGAGTGTGAGGTAAACACCGGTGTCCAGGCTTCCTGGCACACATAATTACCTCGTCCACTGACTGGACAGATGTTCGCTGGTTTCGGAGTATTCCTAGACACGTCCGCCCTGTTGCTTCTCAAAACGCTGCTTCAGGGTTCACGACAAAAGTAGACACATCAGCTACCCTCCTGCTCTCCCTCCTGTCACTAATTCTGGCCTGTTTCTTGCTGATACTAGTCCAAATTATGCCTTAAAACTTCAGGACGGTGTAAACCGTGCCTCCCCTCAGACCTCCCACACACAACTGAGATTCCAGCCAATCAACGACTCTCAACACTTGCCACGTCACGGCCCAGTCTCTTTCTCCTATTGGCTAATGATAACGTCATCCATTTCTCTTCTCCAACAGACTGCTTACTGCTGCCGCCATCTTTCCCTCCAATTAAGATGTTGCTCTGTGCTAAACAATGTCTTAAATCAGGTATCTCATTATGTAAGTATTTGATCTGTATCAAGATCAGATACAATATTTGATCTTACGGCTTACTGAAAGCTCAAGCCTTCGGTAGATCTTTACTATAGATGTGATGAGATAGAACCTTTCAGTAGGCCAATACTGTGTGTGTGTCTGTGGGAATAATAGCAACGAAGTATGTCATATTTTGTAACAAAAAAAAAAAACACAAAATATTATTTACATTTTGGTGTATTTTACAAAGCACACAGGCGGCGCATGATTTAATGTTTTGCTATATTTACCGCAATGTTTATAGTCAAGCTCAGTGTACAGGAAAAATAAACAGAGATTACGTAAACATCTCACACATTGTCTCTCCCCCCTTCCCTCACACCACCTCCACACACCCCACCACCCCACACCCCCACCTCCCCAAACCCCACCTCCCCAAACCAAACACCTCCTCAGCCACACCCCCGTCTCCTCACCCAACCTCTCCTCACAATCCCCTTCCTCATACCCCTGAAAACACAAAAAGTTATAGTTTAATATGGGCTTAAAGCTCTATGAAATTATGGGCTCTATGAAATTATGGGCTCTATGAAATTATGGGCTCTATGAAATTATGGGCTCTATGAAATTATGGGCTCTATGAAATTATGGGCTCTATGAAATTATGGGCTCTATGAAATTTAAACTCTCTCTACAAATAACAAAAAAATACACCAATTTAATTTCCCGTTGGGATGGAGAGCGCCAGTACACACACACACACACACACACACACACACACACACACACACACACACACACACACACACACACACACACACACACACACACACACACACACCACACATTTAGACCTACAGACATTCACGCGAGTGCGCACACCTGGAAACGCACCAAACACACACACACACACACACACACACACACACACACACACACACACACACACACACACACACACACACACACACACACACATACACACACACACACACATACACACATACCATTACCAACAAAAATCTGAAAATGACTATATCAGATTACAGTTGGATATATGCAAACCTGATTTACACGAAGCCAATTACAGTATGCTAATCAAATTATGCAAGTTGTAGTGTCCCAGTTAAATCAGACCAATGCCTAACCCAATGAAATGAACGCAGACTGAACAGCTGCATAAATGCAGCTGCAATGCTTTATGCAAATCGTTAATTGCAGCAAATTACATATGTATGGGTTAGGACCTGAAATTAGCAATGTTGATTTAGTCATTATTCAAAATCTCGTCTCTAAATAGTCAGGCTGTCTGGTTTATGTCAAAAGATCTACATGTTAAATTAAGTCCATAGAGGGGGGAATATATATATATATATATATATATATATATATATATATATATATATATATATATATATATATATATATATATATATACAGTATATATATATATATATTATAGTCATATATATATATATATATATATATATATATATATATATATATATAATATATATATATGTTACTTGGTATGAAATCTTTCAAAAGAAACATCATTGCGAACTGAAACTTTGTAAAGTGTTAAGTGAGGCGTTGATAATTTTGTTGTAAAGTGTTATATGTGTTAAAGCGAACATTTACAGTGTTAAGTGAATCAAGGCTAACTTTATAAAGGATTAATTGCGGCAAAGCTCACTTTTTAAAATGTTAAATGAGGGACTGCTATGTAAAGTGTTATGTGAGGCAGAACTAATTTTGTAAAGTTTTAAGTGAAGCGCAATTAGCTTTATAAAGTATTAAGTGAGGGGCCCTCCTAACTTAATCCCAGTAAGTGTGATTGAAGTAAAAAAAAAAAAACTATTTTTACCACTTAAGTTTGCTTGCGCCATCTTGGGGACTCCCATGAACCATCTTGGCGACCTCCCATGAGTCAAGAAGGCCAAGCTCCTCCCCTATGTCTCTTCCTCTGATCCTCGGGAAGAATTGTATCTTTAAATGAAGAAATCCACAAGGGGGCCTTGGTGTGAGGGTTCGAACCTGCGTTCAGAGTGTTCCCAGAAGCGCAATCTTTAAATTGTTCTACTTTTAGTTATCAGGAAAAATATCTTCATGAACGAACACAAAAATTTCCTAAAGTAATTTTTTTTTAATTTGCCCAGAGAGAAGATAACCCATCACGTTCGAAAACTATCACGCTCTGTTATATATATATATATATATATATATATATATATATATATATATATATATATATATATATATATATATATATATATACCTAGTAGCCAGAACGCACTTCTCAGCCTACTATGCAAGGCCCGATTTGCCTAATAAGCCAAGTTTTCATGAATTAATATATTTTCTCTAATTTTTTTCTTATGAAATGATAAAGCTACCATTTCATTATCTATGAGGTCAATTTTTTTTATTGGAGTTAAAATTAACGTAGATATATGACCGAACCTAACCAACCCTACCTAACCTAACCTAACCTATCTTTATAGGTTAGGTTAAGTTAGGTAGCAGAAAAAGTTAGGTTAGGTTAGGTTAGGTAGGTTAGGTAGTCGAAAAACAATTAATTTATGAAAACTTGGCTTATTAGGCAAATCGGGCCTTGCATAGTAGGCTGAGAAGTGCGTTCTGGCTACTAGGTACGACAAATATATATATATATAATACTCTCGAAACAATGCAGCGATACTATGTCTAATAAATTACCAGAGTTATTTATTCCATATATCAACAACCCTATTTGCAAACCAATATTTACACAGGACTTACATAAATCTAAACTTATCCAATTTATATCTATTAACCCGAGTTCTATTTTGCGTTGATTTATTTAACATGTTATTTATATATGTTTTTTTTATAGTTTCATCCATTTGTTCTCCATTCATGTCACCCTCTACCACAATGTTGCGGTATGCTGCCCGCATGCTGGGATATGTGTGGTGGTGGTGGTATTATGATCGTATATGTGGTATATTATGATCGTATATGTGGTATATTATGATGTAATATGTGGTGGTGGTGGTGTTATTGCAGTATATACGGAGTGGTGCTGGTGCT